TTTAGGGCTACCCCGAAACATAGAACCATGATATGATTTTTGGTAGTGACATTTTTCGCTAATAGGAATCCAAAATATTAAATTAAGTCAATTTTTTTAACTTCGCTTATAAATTTTTTGCACTTTTATTTGACTCTTTTAAAGTTAAAACTTTTTTAAACAAAATCTAACATTTTTATAAAAATCGGTACTTATGACAATATCATAGTAAATGGCTTACAGAGAAAATAAATTGATTTGGAACCTTGAACAAAGAAGAAGAGCTCTTTGTATTTCCTTTGTATCATGGTATAAAAATATAATTTAACAGCAAGTGTTGTTGCACAACGATCACATAGAAAGTCAATTTCCGAATGTAAAGAATTCCGATCCATATGATATTGACAGTAGTACATATCGCCCTCAACAGACACTTGCAGCTACTTTGTATAATTAAAAAATTGTATTTTTCGAATAAAAGAGATACAATTAAAATTTGTAATTAATACTACACATGGTACAATTATTCAAGGTATGCTAAAGCAACTTAGTCCTGATTTATATTAGGCGAGTTTACTTGCGGCAATTTTTATCGTTCTCTTTTGAACTTGCTCCATGCGTCTATACAAGGCAATTCGGTTTCCAAAATATTTTTTTATTTGTTGTTTTTTCACATTCAAATATATATAAAATGTCAACAAATACGAAATACACAAAACGAATTGCCAGAAAATTGTCGGTACGAGCAATTTTTTTCATTTCTATACCCATTGCCCCTCTCTCCTACAAACAAATACTTGCCGCAAGTAAACTCGCCTAATCTAAATCAAGACTTAAACTCCTTGTACATTAGAACTTTTTACCGGGTTAACCTACTTTATGAGGATTTATTTGACATATATGCAAAGGAAATGACAATTGAAACCCACTGGGTTAACGAAATCCGGTTAAATGTAAACGTACTATTATATCCAGAAATGTTTGATTTGTATGCATTGAAAGAAATGTTCACAGACTAATTTTTCTGAAATGTACTAATATATTATTCTCAATTTATTAACATATTTCTAAATACATATCATATATATGTCGTTTCCTGAAAATCTATTTACACTCTAATATTGCAAATACAAATATAACACTTATATCGTCATTATCATCAATAGCTGTTGATGTTGTAATGCACATTTTCAAAATAAAAGAAATCCCTTTTTAATCTAATACTTATGGTGAATTATCACCAAAACACTTCACGGGCTATTTTATGGCAGCCATTCAGCTGTAAAAAATACTGTTGCGGCGTTTTTTTTTTTTTTTTTTTTTGCATGGAAAAATATTAAATAGAATACAAATAACAAAGTCAAGGAACATGGTTGGGGTTTGGGGTGAGAATTAGGTGCCTACATACATGTAACTATCACGTAAGATTGTTGGAATATTAACGTGATAAGCGCGTGTTTATAAGTCGTCATCCGAGTGAACAGACAAACATAGAGACTTGCTAGGTAGGGTCTATTTCCATTTGGAAATGAAACATCTATTGTTGTGCCTCTCACCCTGCTGGATTGGATTTGAACGACTTTTTGCATCTTAAACATCTTGATGAATACATTAAATTCTAATTTGAATGACAAACTTGTTGTTAGCGTGGGAGCAAAAAAGAATTTAACAATAATTTGTAAACTGCAAATGTAGGAGAACAAAGTGTTGAGGCCGTTGAACGTTAAAATTAAAGATTATCACAAATTTCTAAAGCCCAGATTGAGAATATATATGTGGATCTATTATGGGGCAATTGAAGCAACACACATATCTTTTTGGTCTATCCTGATCGATATGCTTTGGAAATTTTACGTTTTTCTCTATTTTTCTTTTTCAGTGACAAAACAACATTTTTGCGGTCATAACAAGGTTAGTTCCTCAAATGTCGTAAGCCCCAAAGTCTTCCACACTGATAAGCAGTGTAAATAAACAAACAGACAATTAGATTTCGCGTGGGGTTGCAGATACCACCACCACTGGCCACATTCATTTGCTGTTCGAAGAAATTTAACAACGGTTACAACAAACATTAGTAATAGTAGTTAATACCCATAATAGGGGGTACGTCCGTCTCGTCCAGTGATTGTTTTCTTTTAAACGTAGTTGTTTTAATCTTCTGTTTTTTTTATCAGCATTTGCAATTTTATTACCGTTGTATTTTTTAACCATGGAAATTTTGTTGTTGCTGTTGTTGTGACATTCACTCATTTACAAGTTCATCATGCCTAGACGTCAAACATTTTCAAATTGATCAAAGTTCGAACAAAGTGTAATGTCAAGAGATTAGTACCCAAATGAGATCGGAGACGAAGAATCCGATTATATTGGAAATTACAATGATTTGTGTTTCCTAGTTTGGAGCATTATTTAGAGTTTTTAAGGGCAAAAACTTTGTGCAAGCTGAGCACAAATTATTATTTTATTTAAAAATATGCATTTCTTATGGATTACCACGTATAACGTGGTGGCGCTACAACACCCATCCAAAATTATATTTTTAAATTTGTACTTTAAAAAGCTGAATCTTGACTAGAACTCAAAATGTTTTCTAAATGCCTTTCTGCCTATACCGGTTCAGGGCATTGGACACTGAACATAATTATACCCTCCACCATATTATGTAGGGTATATTAATTATGTTTTTCCGTTTGTAACTCATTTAAATAAAATAATCATTTCCGACCCTATAAGCCCCCATATAACGGTACTCCCCGATTTTCAGTATTTTGGGGTTCTTGAACGAGGTTTTTCATCGAACTCGCTGAAATTTGGTACATTGGATTCTTATTATATCTTATATACCTTATATACCAAATTTCTCCACTAGCAATTATGTATATAGATCCTCTTTTTCTAGTAGCATCTAAATCGTGTGCTCATTGTTGTCATTACACAAATAAAAATAATATTAAATCTACTTGCCAATAAAAATAAAAAATCTATTCAGAATAATATAATTAAAACATAACATTGCCCTTCAAAACGAAAATATAGATATTAATAGATATATATATATTAGATAGATATTAAATATAGATATTAATTATAGATATCATTTTACGCAATATATTTATAACCGCAAGTTAATAATTGTACATTTACGCATTTAATATTTTATTTTTTTATTGATTCCACCTTAAATTTTCGTATTATGAAATCCATTGGGTGTGTTATTTTTCTTACTTTCTAACAAATATAATCGGCATCCAATTTTTTAAACTGAAAACCATGTTCGACTTTATTAAATTTCTTGAATATATGTGTCGATTATTTTCCATATTTTGTTTTTTTAGCATCGGAAATATTCCATTTAAAATTGCATTAACGATTATGGGGTAAATATCGATCGATCGTGTAATACTCGTCTCGCAGTGTCTTTGACCATTTTCAGTGATAATTTCAAATGTTTAATTCAAATTTTATTGTGGCCTTCCGCAACAAAACAAATTTTACGAAAAGAATAATATATCATCATGGGAAAGCAATTTCATAATACAAATTTATTTCACACGCCCATAAATGACAGTCTTACGACATAATAACGCATTTCGACCACCTCTCGGTCAAATATTTTGAGATAGATCAATGTACTTGAATTTGTACATAAAAAATAATTATAATGTGTATTCACAAAATATTTATTATCGAAGAGGGGGTCAAATCATTGTTGTTCTCCGAAATATATTTTGAATTATTTTAATGTATATTATAAAGAAATAATAATGTGATGAATAATTAAGTGGAGGCTTTTTCGAGATTTATTTTTGTATATTTTGTATTTTTTTAGTGTTAGTTTATTATGTCAGTTAAATTCGAAAATGGCCATACGAAACGAGAACGATTCCTAGCATTGTACCTCGTTTTGCAAAAAAATAATGATCTTAAAATTTATCATACAGGATGTGTATCCTTAAAAAATAATCATGCTTAATGTTATAATACGAGTTTTTTACCAATTTCAAATTTAAACCATTTTTTGACACCTACTCTTAATAGTGTGAGTTCATGTCGTCCGTCTATCAATCATTATTACATTTTTTTCAAGTGTATGATATTTATAATTAGATCACTATTACATCATTATGATCTATTTATATGTTCCAAAAAATTCAAACTAAATTCATATTTACATATTTAAAATAAAATGGAGACAAGAGTCCAAAAACAAAAGCTGGACTACACCAGATATGTCTTGTAAACCGTGTCACCCAAAAGAAAGAAAACATACAAATAATCAAAAAGAAAGAAGGAATTCATAAACAAAGTGTATCACCGAAAATAGGGATACACATACGCACACACACACACTCCCACCATCATATATTACATTTTTGTAATTATTTACCAAAGAATTTAACAGTTTATTTGTGCAAAACTAAACACAGAAAACAATAAGACAATGGCGGCAACAGCAGCAGCTACAACAACAACGACGATTACAAAAATAGTAAATGCGATGATGATAAGTTAATCAAATACCCCGTCAAGTAGTTTTACAGGCTTACCGTTTGATCCTATCCTCTTCTCTATCTCTGCCTATTGTTGTTCTCATCTGGCCGAGCTTTGCTTTCTTCGAGTGATAAGAAGCGAACAGCGAAGACGGACAGCGGGCGGCCGAACGTAACTGTTCGATGCATTTAAATGCAGCCGAATGAGAACGATAATGAGCCGCTCCGAACTGCATTTTTCGTTTTGTTTGCCTCGGGGTCTGGTTTTGGCGCTATAGGTTGTTTGTCTACGGGCTATTTTATTCAGAACTGTTTCGGTTGTGATCACAGACTCATCTGCCTAAGGGAACACCGAGGAACGTCTTGGCAAAAGACAATTCGCCCCCTTTGAAATAGAAACTCAACGTTTGTGTGACATTTCCACAAATAATTCGGGGTGTGTGTGCGTTTGTGTGGAGAGCACTAAAAGGAGTGAATCCAAGGATAATGAATTTGTAGTGCAAAAAATCAAATCAAATTAAAAAGAAATCAAACTGAATAAAATACTGTCGTAAAACACAACACCAGAATAGTGAAAGCAATAAAAATGGTTGAAACGGAAATAATTGTTACCAACTCGGCCGAGCCCACCACAAAAGCCAGTTTAATTGTTGTCTCAAATCGTTTGCCTTTTGTGTTGGTAAGAAATCCCACAACCGGAAAATTGGAACGCAAAGCAAGGTAAGCCAAAAATTTGCCGTGAAAGTGACGATGACGGTCGAGAGTCCGAGCATTGGGGCGACTTTGATCTTTGGCGATTATTTGGGTTGCCCGAGGTGTCAGTGACATTGAGTCCATTGTCATTGTGTCCTCGTCATTTCTAGCTGATTGATACGCCTTTCATTGTGACAATAATAACAACAACAACAAGAATAAGATCAACAATACTAATTATAATTTACTTCGTTAATCGTGGATTTATATTCTTATCACTTCTATTGATTGCATTTGTATGTTAATGTGTTCTTGTTCTTGCCACTGTTGTTTTTGTATTATTTTCTATGAACTATGTAAGAGTATATACCTATATTATATATGTATGGAAATCAAGTTACATGGATCATTTATAGTTGACAGATAGTGAATATGTATGGGGTGTGTGTCTGTTTGTGTCTGCATCTTGTGATGTTATAAACTGTACCGCAGGTAATATTGACTGCTACAATCAATGTTTACAAGTAATAATTATTTTTTTTAATTATTTAATCTCTAAAATTTTGTTTTTTTCCAAGGCCTATGTAAGTTAAGTTTTGAGAGAAATATTTCACCAATTTCAATCTTCGTAATCTTTGGAAATCGGAATATTAATGTTTTAATTCTCATAATAAATAGTTTTAATTCTCATAATTTGTGGACCAGATATCGCAAAATGTATTCCAACATCCGTTGTTATTTGCACAGTTATAACACCCGGAAAAAATTGGACATTTTAGAAAGAAAAAATGTGATAGTCAAGAAACTGTACCATTTATTGGTAGACAGAGTCCAAATAAAAGGCTCACATAAAACAAATTGCTCGCTTCAGTTAATTTTTTTTTTAATTTCTTGTGAAAAAATATTTTTATATATAACATATTTAACCCATTAATGCCTGCCAATAGAACCCACGGTACGGTTTTTTTTTGAAATTCTCGTGTAATCTAATACAGGTCATAAATTTGCGTTGCAAAATTTTTAGCTTTCTAACTATCAGCATATCCGAGTTTTGCGTTGGGCATTTAATAAAACAAATTGCTCGCTTCAGTTAATTTTTTTTTAATTTCTTGTGAAAAAATATTTTTATATATAACATATTTAACCCATTAATGCCTGCCAATAGAACCCACGGTACGGTTTTTTTTTTTGAAATTCTCGTGTAATCTAATACAGGTCATAAATTTGCGTTGCAAAATTTTTAGCTTTCTAACTATCAGCATATCCGAGTTTTGCGTTGGGCATTTAATTACCCAATCGACCAATCAGGGTTCTTGCAGGGTTGTTGGGGGATTTTTAGATTTTTAGGCATATCCGAGTTTTGCGTTGGGCATTTAATTACCCAATCGACCAATCAGGGTTCTTGCAGGGTTGTTGGGGGATTTTTAGATTTTTAGGCAATCTGGAGACGAATATTTTCGTCGATTGTTCCATCTTCTAATTTTCTATGTACATGTATGTACCAATTTTCTCATTTTTGAATATTGTTAATCTTTGGCCTTGGAAAGATATGATCAATTTTATTAATTTAGTATCCTGAAAAGAAAAATAATTAGATATCTCATTCCACATTTGAGTTACGGCGTACGATCTATTTTACGGGTATTTAAATACCCACAGGCATTAATAGGTTAATATGCACACATAAGGTGGAGGATAGAGGTATAATTGTATGAGCCACAAGTCAAAGGGGGATTGCTGTGCCGTCTGGAATAAAAATGTAAAAAAATAAAAGTGGTATATTTTTTTATGCTTTCAGTTTTCTACCAATTCGAATTCCACATTGCGTATACTTTATTCGTGGTTATTATTTATTATACGGCAGAAGCATTCTGCGCAATCAAGTTAGGCTATTACGTGGAAGCTAGATGTGTGTGTGTGCAATAACTTTCATCTCACTTTATTTATTAATTTTTAGTGCTGGTGGTTTGGTTACGGCTGTATGTCCCGTTGTCATTCGTGGTCATGGTTTATGGGTTGGTTGGTCCGGCATTCATTTACAGGATCCTAATGAACCAATTCCGGAATCTAATCCAACGGATCAAACACCAACAGCCGGTCTGAAATCGGAACAGGTAATTTGAAATAAAAATGATAAAGTTTTTTCCCACAACCCACAAAATTAAAAAATAATAATTAGAAAACCATCAAGTATATTTCTTTAGGAGTAACATAAATTTAAAAATACCAAATTTGTTCTTCTTCTATCTTAGGTCGTTTCGGTCAATATAAATCCAAAAATCTTCGACAGTTACTATAATGGTTGTTGCAACAAAATATTCTGGCCCCTATTTCACTCCATGCCCGGCAGAGCTACCTTCGGTGCGGACCACTGGAATGATTACATTACAGTGAATAAACATTTCGCTGCTCGCACCATAGAAGCATTAGAAAAATGCCTTGCCAAGAACAGTGGTCAGGACAAAAATCCTCCTATCGTTTGGATTCATGACTATCATCTAATGTTGGCTGCTAATTGGGTACGCGAACAGGCGGAGGAAAAGAAATTACCCTGTCGTTTGGCATTCTTCCTGCACATTCCATTCCCACCATGGGATATTTTCCGTTTGTTCCCATGGTCCGATGAAATTCTACAGGGCATGCTGGGCTGTGATTTGGTTGGTTTTCACATACAGGATTACTGCTTGAATTTTGTGGATTGTTGTCAGCGTAACTTGGGTTGTCGTGTGGATCGTAACAATTTGTTGGTCGAACATGGTGGACGCACAGTTCGTGTACGTCCTCTGCCCATCGGCATACCCTATGAACGTTTTGTCAATTTGGCTCAGGAGGCACCCAGTGTTTTGAAGGGCACTGAACAGCAACAGACAATATTGGGTGTGGATCGTTTGGACTATACCAAAGGTTTGGTGCATCGTTTAATGGCATTTGAGGTTCTATTGGAAAAGTATCCGCAACACAAAGAAAAAGTGTCCCTACTACAAATTTCTGTACCCTCACGTACGGATGTCAAAGAATACCGGGAACTAAAGGAAGAAGTGGACCAATTGGTGGGTCGCATTAATGGTCGTTTTACAACGGCCAACTGGGCTCCCATACGCTACATTTATGATTATGTAGCTCAGGATGAATTGGCTGCATTGTATCGCGACGCAGCAGTTTGCTTAGTAACTCCCCTCAGAGATGGTATGAATTTAGTAGCCAAGGAATTTGTGGCCTGTCAAATTAATCCTGTACCAGGCGTCCTGATCATTTCACCATTTGCTGGTGCTGGAGAAATGATGCACGAAGCTTTACTCAGTAATCCGTATGAAGTTCATCAAGCCGCTGAAGTTATACACAGAGCCCTAACAATGCCTGAGGACGAGAGAACTCTCCGCATGAGTCGTTTGAGAAGACGAGAATCAGAGTGCGATGTCAATCATTGGATGCGTTGCTTCCTAAAGGCTATGGGTACATTGGAAATGGATGATGTGGGTACCACAACAATGCAGCCAGTAACGGTCGATGACTTTGATGATTATTTGCTGAAGTAAGTTTCCAAATAAAACAATTTGGCCACAAGTTGAAACCATTCTTTGTCTTTTCCAGGTATATTGGTTATAATCACAAATTGGCCTTATTGTTGGATTATGATGGTACATTGGCGCCAATAGCCCCCCATCCAGATTTGGCAACTTTATCGCCCGAAATGAAAAATCTTCTATTTAAACTCTCCAATCACTCGGATGTTTATGTGGCAATCATTTCTGGTCGTAATGTGGATAATGTCAAGAAAATGGTTGGCATTGAGGGCATTACATATGCTGGTAATCATGGTCTGGAAATTTTACATCCAGATGGCAGTAAATTTGTGCATCCAATGCCCATCGAATTTGAAAATAAAGTCAGTCAACTACTCAAAGCTTTACAAGATACCGTAAGTTGGGACATTTTGCACTTGATCAGAAAAATGTATTAATTTTGAATATACAGGTTTGTCGTGATGGTGCCTGGGTTGAAAACAAAGGTGCTCTATTGACTTTCCATTATCGTGAAACACCCAATCAACTTAGACCAGCCATGATTGAAAAGGCTCGTAGCCTGATGATCAAGTATGGATTTAGAGCAACAGAGGCCCACTGTGCCTTGGAAGCTCGTCCACCTGTTCAATGGAATAAAGGTCGTGCATCCATATATATTTTGCGTACCTCGTTTGGTGTAGACTGGAGCGAACGAATTAAAATTATTTATGTTGGCGATGATTTGACCGATGAAGATGCAATGGTTGCCCTTAAGGGTATGGCTCGTACTTTCCGTGTAACGTCTTCGGATATTGTTAAAACGGCTGCCGATCATCGTTTGCCGTCAACGGACTCTGTTTACACTATGTTGAAATGGGTTGAGCGTCACTTTATGGGACGTAAGGCGCGAGCAAATTCACTGACTTATCGTAATCCCAGAGGGGATGGTGTACGAACACAAATGTCTCTGGAAATAGCCTCAAATTCGAATAGTCTGGATGTTGAACATGTTTAAATGCATTCCAATGAATTTATAAGTATTCATTCCAAAATATGGAGAATGATAATCCCTAGATGTGTACCTTAATCAGTTTGTTAATAACGCTTATCAATAAATATTTGTTTATATTAATTACATCGTTTTGAAGTTTTTTTCAATAACATTGTGAAAATTCAGTTATTATCCTCATTGACCGTCGATGTGTTCAGCAAAATATTTTAGGACAAAAAAACTTAATACTGTTATAATGAAATGGTAAGAAAATTATACATAAAAAGGTAACAAATTTTATATTCCGCGTGAAGTTCAAATGTCAAATGAGAAAAAAATTGATTAGAAAGTTTTTGAATTATTGAAAGAACTGCTGGTTTTTGCTAGGAATTTCTTAGTCTCTTTGAATTTCTTCCCCTTGTCACTTTTTATACCTCTCACTTCTAAGATATAAATCCAGACTTAACAAACTGTGGATTCGAAATTTCCAAATGATGATATTACAATGTATAATGGTTTTTATTGATTTAGTAGACTAGAAAAACATGATATAAGAATTTTAAATATTTTCTTCATAAAATATTTAATTTTTGAAAGTTCCCAGTGTATAAATGCATTAAAGTTCATACATCACAAATTACCATATATAAAATATTAATAAAGTATGTCTACACGCAGGCGAATTTTTACTTATAGGTCCTTTAATATATTCGAATTTGTTAGTTGAATGCAATTCAAATTGATATTGTACTTGCGATAATATCAAAAATTTAAGATATTTGAACGTGGAAATAGTTTCTCTTGTCAACCTTCGTCGTTCTCTACATATACATGTAGGTACATTCACTTCCAATACATATATAAACACAGTAGATATTCTTCGTTGCTGGTAGATTAGATTCATATAGTCTATTGACTATTTCACTAATATAATAAAGATAAGAGATGTCTTCCGTCCAATAAATATGGCGTAGATAGAAAAAATTGTCGGCTACACTTCCAAACTCGAAAGGTATATAATCATAAAAAGCATTATTAATTTATTTTAATTGAAGTTTAAATATAAAATACTTTTTGGCATAATGAAAATAATATACAATCAAAAATAAAAACGCACACACAAATGCCAATATTATTGCTATTTATTTATTCTAAATAAAGGCCCTTAAAAGTACATGAGTCGCCAACCTTAATTGTGGGATATCACCAACCAGGAGATAATGAAGAAGAAAAGGAATATGGGATAAACAGCCAAGGGTTTGCGATTGGGTGGTTGACTGTCACCCAGGAAAATGAATGATGCTGTAATTAGAAGATATTTTAAGTTGTTAATTATAACACATTTTAGATTTTTAAATAATAATTATTATCCTTACCATATGTGGCCCATAGAAAACCTACAGTTGTGGTCAGTAGGCGCAGAAAGAATAATAGTGGTGATTGTGTGGCAAGTAAGATAATACGGCATACTATAAGTGATATGGCAACGGGCGTAAGACAATAACCCAGAACACACACAGATTGGAAAAATGATCTATAGACAATATGAGGTAAATATTTAATTTCACTGCGACTTTTTGGTTTTAAATTATACTTACATATTGCCACCTAATAGCTTAGAATTTAATGTAACAATGGCAGCACCTATCCATACTATGACAAAAACTTGGGCAAATTCTGGTCCACCATCATATTCGCCACTCGATGAACCTTGTAAAATTGTGGCCATGAATGTACACAACACTAAAGGACCCCACAGATCCCCTACAAAAGAAAATATTTTATTTTACAAATGTTTTAAGGTGTACAACCCGTACTTACAATCTTTTAGTAGACTTGATTTTTCTTTGGGATATAGGACATGGTAGAATTTCACACCCACGGCTCGCACATCACGCAGCTAGTATAAGGAAAACATATTTTTAGGAACAAGATTTAGAGCAATTTGAGTTGAATGTAAACATTCAGATTGGCAAATATGCCTCTGCTAAAATATGACATGTACAATACAATATTTTTTTTACCAAACCATGATAAAATACAAATAACAGGTTATCACAGTGCTTAGTCAACGATCTGGGAAGTGTCCCTTGCAAGTACATTTTTGCCTTGTAGTTACAAGAGATGCTCTACTTACAACTGTCTCCTTAATTGGTTCGTCCAGTGTATTGAAATCAGGAGCTCCAATTGGGGCATTTGTCTTGTTGCCCGGTATTGACATATCACCCTCCAGACTAGCATTGGAATAATCATCCATCTAGAAATAGCACGATAGGTAGTTTTAATTGCACACTAATTTTGGAAAGCTGAGGTACTTACATCCAACTTGGAATCCATTGTTATGGAATGTTTATAAGCTTTCTACGTTCTCTATGGTGGATTTAACTGGCGATGGCCAATGGATTTGTGTCGTTGTGGAAAGAATGTTCAAAGTGTCTATTCACTGAGTGGAACTCTTATTTCTATTGTACATATGCAGTGTTGTCGATATTTTATACTAAACTGGGGAAAATGTCCCCACGTAATGGGAGAATATAGAGATATTTTATTTTGTTAATGTGATAATTTTATAAATTTCCTAGAAGCCGAAACATTTTATGAAGTTCTTTGTTAATTTAAATCGTAAAACAATAAGTTAAGTTCCATTTACATTATAACTTGTTTCCGGGTTAACCTACTTTATGAGGATTTATTCGAGATGAACACAATTGAATTGACAATTTAAACCCACTGGGTTAATGAAATCCGGTACAATGTAAACGTACAATTGCTATAAAGCATACGGATAAAAAATATATTTTAGAATTTCTCTTAGAGAATTTGTAAAATTTTCAAAATAGTAAATTAGTAAACATTCCATAATATTTGGCGGGATTTAATACTAATATTTTTACTCGTTCCAATAATAATACATAACTTTCGTCAGTTATCTCCTAATTTTTATTAGGAAAAACTTGTCCAGATTTGGAGAAAAAAAAAAAACAACGTTATAATTTACAGCATATACTTCTGGGGATTTTTGGGGATATGTTTGGATTGGAGAAGACACAGTAACATCATACTGGCAACGCTACACTCATCACCCGAATACACATGAGTTGGCGATTGGCGACCGATTACGCCTCATTGTTTACACAAAACATATGGTTGTTGTTTACATTTTCGTGGGAAACGTTAGCGTTTAGTAAAATAGAGCGGTTATATGGTTACTTATTCCAATTACAAAGTAACTATGCCGTTTCGTGCCAGTTGAGTTGTATTGACCAAAGGTTTTTAATTGTTTGTTGAACGATATTAAATAATAAAAATATCAAAAAAAATCTGTCAAAGCCCCAGGAAGAATTTTGAGAAATTTGGTGCTATTGGTTTAAGATTAAAAAAAGTGTTGTGTAAAAGAAATTGAAAAGTCTGATTTTGCCAAACTTCATTGAAAAAGATCCGACAAGTGGTGTTTGTCTGTCATGACAAAATGTAAGTTGTATGAAAATAATACAGATGGCGTTAGGTATTTAAAGAGGTGAGTTCGTCCAGAATAGTGTACATCAATTTGAATAGTTGTATATTATTTTATTTACAGCAGAATTCGTTTTGAAGGACATATCAGTACTTGGGCAAGTTGTAAGGAAATAACACAGATGGCGTTACGTGTTTAAGAGGTGAGTTCGCACAGAATAGTGTAAATCAATTTGCCCAATATGTCTGATGACATATATATGAAATCGCTTATATGGACATATCCCTTATAACGAAAAGTTTTGCATATTTATATGACATCGCTTATAGTGTCCAATTTCGCCGGTCCGTTAACCGCTCATATAATTTCGACATTAGTTCAATTGTATATTGCCTAGTCTCTCGACTTGGAGGCTGTAAACTACACTTTTATGTCAAGTAAACAATTTCAAAATCATGTAGAGTACCATAATACGGCATTTACATTAGAACTTTTTACCGGGTTAACCTACTTTATGAGGATTTATTTGGCATATATTCAAAGTAATTGAAAATTTAAACCCACTGGGTTAACCAATTCCGGTTAAATGTAAACGACCTTTAAGGCATGGTAGTCTTCTCTTGGAGTCAACTTTTTAATATCGAAATATCAACCTGAACAGGATAAAACCACAACATGTCTTTTAATAAAACCTAATGATAGTATTGCCCACCTATATTTTGGTTGTCTATTCTTGAAACCATAAATTTTGACATTCAATAAGAAGTACAACTGGCCTTTCCGATTATCTTATATAAACTTTGAATTTTTTTGAATATTTGCAATATTTTGGAATATTTACAATAAAAATTACTGCATAGGAAAACAGTACTTTAAGTATAAAATTTATTCTGAATAACTAAACGTGTGTTTTAATTGCCATTTTATACGGAATTCTTCCCAGAACAAGATTTCGTAACCTATCTATATTATCATCTTATTTTTACGTTTACCGACCAAAAATTATTTACAGATTCTTTTAGACTTTATGTACAGATGGGTGCATTGTCCTATACCTTCCATTATAAATAGAACGTGGACTAGTTGAATGAGGAGTAAAGCACAAAAAGATGAATTTATGTAGACACCATAATATGAGCCGTTTATTTTGAAAGTGGTTTATATCCATTTTAGAATCTGATACAAATCTTGTTTTTTATAGAAAAGTCTACAAAATATGACACTTTATAACATGACATGGTAGAAAGCCACAAACCAAATTAATACCATATAACAATATTTTTGAAACAACTCAACCCCAAATCTTTCAATATGTTAATATAAGAAAAAATAAACTTAAATTATTATGACATAATTATAATTATGCCATGTATCAACAAGAAAAACGAAAAATTCTTAATTTAAATGAAATATCAATACATTTTATTGTTTTTTTAATATAAATACAAATAAATGTTTACAAAATATATATTTGTTAAGCATCATCATCATTTTCTTCATATTGTTTCTGTGAGATTACTATTTTGATATTTATTAAAAATTTTATTTAAATTAAATACATAAAAAAAAATTGGGTACCAAAAAAGTTATTGTCCGCCGCCCCTATTATTTGTTTTATTTTACTTTAATTATTTATTTGTTAAAGACACTAGAATTATTATTATTATCATTAATATAAAAACATAACTTCTTAGTTCTTCTTCTTTTCATAGTTGGCTTGGATGGCCTTCAACAACCAGCCGACTTCTTCGACAGTCTTGATTTGGAAGTTGGCGTAGGTCTTCAAGTTGGGCAATTCAGAGACTCTGAAGGTTTTGCCAATACCGGCCAACATTTTCATGGCATCTTCATCGGTGGTGTCATCACCGCAGTAGACAATTTTCAAGTTCTTGGCCCAATCGGCATCGAATTGTTTTTCCAAGATCATCTTGGCGCCCTCACCTGAAATAATAACAATAATGAAGAAAATATTAATAAAAATGTGCATTTATAAGAAAAGTAGATTAATGTTTGTTGAATATTTTGTTCAATATCACGATATTCGAAATTTAAAGACAAATTCTATATAACTGATACCTTTTTTAATGCAAAAACCCCAAAATTCATAGAAACAAGAAAATAGCAAAATATGTGGTATGCATGCTTGACGATTTTTCTTGACAATATTATTGTTTCAGAGATTGCCATTGAGCGAAAATCGAAATAATCCTATTATTAGAATTAAATTTCAACACGTGTATTCAAATTGATTTTTGTCTACATCGCAAAGGACATGTATTGAAATAATTCAAAATTCATCTTCTTGTATGCCATGTGCTTTGTTGACCCACAAAATAACATGATCAATAATAAACACACAGCTAATGATCACTATTTGAACATTTGTAATACAAAAAATACACACATATTTTAAGAAAAACATTTGTTTAAGAAATTTACGTTACGCCCGATTGCAAAAGAAAACCAAAAATATGTATTCGTTTGATGTTACAGTAGAATTTATGTCTCCAAAACAAAATATGTATGTGTGTATATTTATATAAGGCGACAGATAAAACATATTCAGAAGACTAATTAATTGTCTTGTCACCGCAGAAAAAAACACAAAACTAGGAAAAAATATTCCCCGTAAACAAATTCCACACAAATCAAAAAAATAAAAAAGAAAAAAAAATCCAACACAATTTTATTGTCCATAGAAAAAATAATAAGCATAACCGTGTGTCAAGATAATACAGAAAGACACATGAAATATATCATATAACACACATGCAGACATATACATGTGTGTGTGAACGTACTTTTGTTCTCTAGTGTATAAATATTCAGTATGTGGGATATACAGAAAAACATAAAATTCTTTGATTTTTTGTTTCATACTAAAAATTGAATATTGCCTAGAGAAGAACAACAGAAATTATTGGTGCCGTCTGAAAATTGTTGAGAAAAAAGTGCATAAGAACTGCTTCTCTGCGATTGTTTGAAATGCACACAAGAAGACAGACAAGTAGGCGAACAAAAAAAAAAAAAAAAAATTGTTCGAACGCAGAAAAATTTAACAAAAAATAGAATTTTAACAAAAAACATATCATTCTCATTATGACATATAAAATGACATCTTATGTGTGCAGTTGAGTGTGTATGTGTGTGCGTGCACATCGATCGGCCGTAAAATTTGGTGGCTACCTTAAATAAAACACACCGTAAAATTCCATACGAGAGGTGTGATAACAACAAAAATCTGGAGATGGTCCAGATTCCCACACACGTTCATAAATATCAAGAGATTTGAAAAATAAATCTGCTGTCATTTTTATAAAAAATTACTTTTGAATTATTTGAAAGTAAAATTGTTCTATTTTATTCTTCTTTTAGCTAAATATTACGCACATATGTATATACAAAACAGACTCCTACACTTGTGTGTACACCCATACACTTGCATTTAAAATGAGGAACATAGTCAATAGTAAAACTTAGGCTAAAAATAAAATTGTTCAGCTATTCTACACAGGAGGAAGAGTTCTCCTCAAGAGGTGTTTGCACCCCCGCCTGTGTTACTTTTGTGTGCAGTAGAAAATGGACAAACAGTAATTTTATTTTGTCTTATGAATATTTTAGTTTGAAATCAGAACATTTATAACAAATTGCTTTGGGGAGGGAATTGGCCGGCTGAAATTACGTCATTAGCACAGAAATGCTTCCAAAAAATTTTTGATTTTTTTGTTAGTTTTCGTTTTTTTCTTGGTCCATAGATAATTTGTTTTTTAGTTTTTTTTTTTTTTTGGTATCTTATTTCTATTAAGTGGGGAAATGAACACACACACACATATATAAAATGTGTGTATATAAGTCCATTATATGTTTCAATTTATTTAATATGTTACTGATCGATTTATGGTATTTTGAAATAGAATTGAAGTTCAAAATGGCATTGGCAACATAATTTTTATGATTTCTATTGAATTATTGTATTTATGTTAATGAATTTTGTTAGTATATGTAATGTAATAAAATACATCACATAAGAGGAGGACCGCCAACATTTTGTTTCGTTTTAATTTTTTTTTAATTCAAACCTACACTTGTACATGAATGTCCCTTTAAAATTTTAAGTGAAAATCTCAAAATTTCTTGAAGATATAGCCGTTAAAAAAGCGACATTGGCTTTTGCATAAAAGTAAAAATCCGTGTTTTGATCCATACGGTCCAAGGCGTGTTTTCCAAAAATGCAAGAGACAACCAATAGCTATTTTGTTTGTTTTGTAAAAGGAATTGCGAGAATTTATGAGGGCCTGCATATAAAACTTTGAACTTTGACATGTCTGCATGCTTTGGAATGAGAAATTACGAATTATTAGGTACTGTAATATATTTTTTTCCGACAATAGAAACTAATTAACTCTAAGAATCGCGGATTTTAGACAACAGATTTATTTCATAGATTACATATTTCTGTATAAGGGATTTACTTATTGTTACCATTTTTTTCTATATACGCAATTTTTTCAAAACATATTCTGAATTTTCGAAAGCTATGGATTTCGATACTCATATATGCTGACAAAGTTGGTCTGGGAACTGGAAACTTATTTAATGAAAAAAGAAATGTCTCTTCGTAGTTTCGATACTTCAGAAGTGATTCTTAATTTTCATATTTTTTTTTTAAATAAGATGACCATACGTCTTCACTCTTTTTTAGAGGAAAATCGTCTATTTTAAATGGCTGTCATCTATAAAATTTATGTCCTCTATCTGTCTTCTATTTCTATAATCTGTCATCTATATTTTTAAAATCTTGATCAATATTTATTTTTGTAAATTAAAACAAATTAATAAATTTTATGAAATTTCAGAGAAATATTTAGAAAATTATTTTCAGGATTTTTATACATATTTTCCAACCGAATTACCTGTTATTTTATATTTTGAGTTCTACTTGGGTAACAAATTTCCATAAAAAATTATTAAATGTTGGTATTTTTTTTTGGGTTCCTGGACACGTTTTGCAACCGAATTGGCTGTAATTTTATATTTTGGGATCTATGTTTCTATGTGTTCCCTATATTAAGAAACCCACGTTTTTTTTTATTTTAAAAAAATTTGCCTTCAAAAGTAAATGTAATTTACTATTCCATGTGGTCTTTGGGTTGCAAAATATCCTTGGAAAACATAGACGGCATATGTACATTTTATATACAATCTATTATTTTTATTAAAAATACACTGTTTTCTTTTTGTCATCTATTTTAATTTTCAAAATCTGGTCACTTTATTTTAAAGTGATGGCTAAATATCTGTACTGAAGGTTTCCCCTCGGTTTCATCTAATAGCATAAATTGGCGGATGATGAGGAAATGTCTTAATGCTACTCTCTTGATGTTTAGTTCCATAGTTTTGAATAAAAATCCATTTAAAATTTGGAAATTAGTTGAAAATATTTCAAGTTGCTCTCATAATTTTATGATATAAATCAAAACATAATTGAATAGTATGTACAATCACTAAATAAACTAAACAATTTCAATTTATTATAGAAACTTTTTTAATACGAACTAAAATAGTTTTGATTTTCTTTTTGAAATCCATATGCTTTTAATTGTTTTTTTTTTTTACTCCAAACCAAACTTTATTGCAATTATTTACCGCAATGTGTTTATTATTATTATTGCATATATATTTTTAAAGAAAATTCTATTATCATGAATAGTTTCAAAAAGACGAACATGCCATAAATATTAGGCGGCTGTCATCTTTTGAAAGAAAGCAACAATGCCATAAAAATAGATATAAAATTTGCCTTATGCCGCCATAAAATATACATAGATAAACGAAACAATTAATTTAATGTTTGTTTTTGCTGCTGCCAATAATCGCACATACATATGTATATCGTGCATATTTGTATGTACGTAGCACACATGTCATTTTAAACAAATTATTCACTTTGTAAATATAAAAATCTTTACACACAGTGGTTGTGACAGGCACACGACTGTCAGCCAAGTACCATGGATGCAGCAAGAGCCATTGACCCACCCAACCGCCCAACAGCACCACCACCACCGCCATCACAGATCGGTAGGTAGATGCATCCCAACTGCATATAGTGCAGTGGTGAATGGGTTTGTAATCAAAATAATGTTTCTTGCATTTTTCATATTTCAAAATTGTTAGAAGTGACTCAGCGTAGCAGCATCTGACGATGAGTCCAAGTTTAAATATAAATGAATGCCCGTGTACGAGCGTGTGTTTGTATGTGAGTTTGGAAATAATTGAAATATTCAAATACAAAATAAAGTGTAAATTTGGCTGAAATGAAAAATATGTTAGATGCGTTGACAGTAGTAAAGGACAGCAAGTGTCTGTCTGTCTGTAGGTGGCTGCGACTGCTGCCGCTGTTGTCGTCGTCCATAATATATTGCCGATTTGTGACAGTGGCTGTTGCCGTGCTTGTCTATAATTTTGTCATTTTTCTTAAAAACGCTCGAAGAATTTTTTTGGCTGCTGATCTTTCAGCCAAAAAAACAAACAAAAAATATATATGTGTGTATGTATGTATATATCGAACCAACAAACGCCTACTCAAAAAAGCGGCCCAAAACACATTATTCATTTGCTTTATTTTTTGCTATTCAGCTAAACATCATAAAAATAAAAGCTAAAGCAATGTGTCTGGCGAAAGCATATATTTCCCTTGGATTTACAATTTCCCAAGAAAAACAAAAACAACAAATGATATATATATATATATATACTATATAAAACACACACACATGTGTCTATGTATATCCACAGATGTTGTTTTAACATCAACTACTAGTCCAGAAGGAATTCTAATCTGAATGAATTTATTATCCGATATTTTGGAATACACATTTCCCTATGGCAACCACCATTTTGTATCGATCTTATTCAAATGTCTTTCTCGAAGGTCTTCTGAACAAAAAACGTTCTGAAAGTTGACACAACTCAAGTTATCTTTATACAGCTACAATTTGGTGTACCTCTTTCAATTATAAGAAATACTTGACATATATATTAAGTTTGTTACCCATTTTTTCACAGTATGCTAATTTTTATAATAGCAACAAATTTAGTTCAATAAAGTTTAACGTGAAATTTTTTGAAACTACTTCCCCGATGCAGATATATATTCGCTATAGAGAATTTCGTTATTGAAAACAAATAGAGTTCCAGTGAAGTGTGGAACAAATTATCAAACATCATTTGAACATAACTGACAAACGGCGTTCATATTTTTCATACCTCCTTATGATGTTGCTTTCAAAATTATGAACGAGATTTGTGCAGAAAATGAAAAGAAAAAGGAAAATGGTCTATTTAACTTACCCTTATCCCAGTTGACACGTGGTTTGCCTTCCAAGGCATAGGGAGTTTCGATCAATTGGAAGCCGTGGCTTTGGATCAAACCCTTGGCGCTTTCAATCAATTTGGCCTTCAATTTGTCATTGACACCCTTGTAGTGATAGGTGACAGAGATTTTCTTGTCTTCAACCCAGGCACCGGAGCACACAACCTATAATGGAACAGAAAAATACACAATTACTTTTTCTCGCTCCCTTCTCTCTCCAATTTCTTGAAAATACCTTTTCCTTGAGTTCAGCGACCAATTTGTTGTGCTTTTCCAACAATTCTTCGGGCATTTCAATTTTGAATTTCTTGCCAGATGGATATTCAACTTCCAAACCGTGATTGCCGGCATAGGTGACATTGGGCAATTTCAAGTGATTCTTGATTTCGGTCAATTCACGACCAGAGAAAATGCACATGAAGATCTTCTCGTTGGCAGCCAATTTCTTGATGTTGATTTCGGTATCCTTAGGCATAACCGACAATTCTTCGGTCAATGGGGCCAAGGTGCCATCGTAATCCAACAACAAGGCAACTTGATCGGTGGGTGTAATGAAACTATAAGAAACGCAGAAATAATTTTCTATGGCCAACAAAAAGAAAATAACACTATAATTACCCTTCCAAAGCCTTAACGAAGTCTTCTTCCTTTCTCATCAAAGGAGCCTTCTTTTGTTCAGCCATTTTTGTTTTGAGTCTCTTTTTTTTAATTCACAAAAAATATCCTGAAATTGAAATTTTCCCGTTGTACTAAACAAGCGGACAACTTTTTTAATACTGACAATGCGGTTCTCAGAAAAATCCTCCATCACCTCCATTTTTTCAGATTTTCCTCGTTTCGATTCGTTTATTAACCAACAAAAATTTATGTTTTTGTATGGGTTTGTGGCGTTGGCGTTAAGGGTGATCTCTTGGTTGGTATAGATTTTTCATATTTCGAAGAATAAACCCCCCGCCAAAGGTTGAGAGATTTTCCAAATTATGAAAATTCTCTATGCGCATTCGTATTTCGATTTACCTTTCTTTCTGTACATTTAAACATATATGTACGTGCACACACATACACAAACAGTGTTCGCTTTCTTCTCCCAAATCGATCGAGGAGAAAATGCTTACATATTCACATAAGTAGGTATGTGCACATTCACATAAATAAATATGTGTGCTCTATGCGCATTCAAATAAGAAAGTGTACAAATACGACCGAGTTTTACCACACGCAGACACTTTTTCCGTCGAAATCAACGTTGCCATAGTGGAGAATTGCAATAAAATTTGGAGTAAATTTTAAATAAATTTGAAAGGCAATTTTCCTGATCAACAAGTTTAAATCAAACATTTTAATAAAAAATTGTCAAACAGAGAATACAATAATATTATTAATTAGGTATCGATAAGTGAGGCTATTTTTATATTTAAGAAATAAGAAAATATAGAATGTCACTACTAGGAACTACGATTTTTGGTCCTGTCCGATTACTTAGGAATTTAGATTTAATTCCTAATTCCATTGTATTTTGGTAGGATTTTGAAATCTGAAATGGCAGCACTGACAAATAGTTGAGAGACAAAATCTCTTGAATTTATTTTGATTTTTTTTCCTTATGAAAAAATGTAAAAGCTCTAATCACAAGATTGTTTATGTTTCTACAAATAAATATATGTATACACATAATATATGTATGTGTATATATGTAAAGTTGTACATTCTGGAATAATATATCTATACATGTAGAACACAAAATTCTCTACACCATTTCGCTACTTTATTGAAAAATCTTGGAAATCTTTATTAACTTAAAATGTCCATTAAATCTGACATTTTAATTAACTAGCCAACAATTTGTGACAGAAACATATATTTACAACAGTGGGGAAAATATTTCAAATTTAATTTTGTTTTTGTAGATACTATGTTCCTCATCTTTTACAATGTCTTTTGCATTATAGATTTATATATATTTTTTAGAATAGCCCCCATTTAAGGGTACCGCCCCATTTGCGGTACCGAAGCAGCTGTAATTTCGCATATCGAGTTTTCAGAGGATAGAATACCTCCTCATAGAAATATTTTTAATATGGGGTCACTTGTCCCCATGAAAATGTCCCGTTTTTTATATTGGTCCACATTACCCGACTTTGAATTTTTTTATTTAAAAACATTTTTTGGCTTAAAAAATAAATAAAAATGAAAACTAACCTATTCTAATTGCAGCTAAACGTACATTTTTATTAAAGAAAATAAAGTTCTTTATAATTGAGAAAAAATTGTTTGACACTTGTGATAAAAAACTTTTCAAATCACAGATTTCAATAAGAGCTTAACTAAATTTTCATCATTGCAATTATGTATTAAGAAGCATGTTAGATGTTTGTTTGTACTAATTACGAAAACATATCGACGCCTCCGAAGAATAGTATGCTAAGTCTGAAAAGTGAGTTTTTCAGTAGAAGCTTTCAAAGTATGGAAGTTTCTTTAATTTTACGTGTCATGCTAAGTACATTTTTGCTGTAACTTTGGTTTGGATTGGCCGATGATTACCAAAATTTCAGAGAATGTAAATTAAGGACCGTAGTATCTAAAAACGTAAATAACTTTAAAACATGCTAAGTTGACTTAGCATACTATGGTTCGGAGGCGTCTTGATATATCGACGTTTCTTGCTTTTGGAAATTGGAAATCATGTTAATTAATTATTTTGCAAAACTTATTAGTATATCAATGAAAGAGAATAGTTAGTGTTTCAAAAATATTTTTTTTTTTTGCAATATAATCTCTTGAAACTTCAATACACTTAGTCTAGCACTTTTCTAGCAGTTCCATCCCTTGATTAAAATTGTTTTCCTCAAGGTCTTCAAAATAGCGGTTTACAACTGTAATAGCATTATTTTTTAGATTTGGGAAGTAAAAGTCACTGGGAGCTAAGTCAGGAGAATAAGATGGGTGGTCAGGCAACTCGTATAGGTTTGAATTAATTTGAATCGATTTCATTTTTTCAAGATTTTCAATGGGCTGGTAAATCAAAACCAATGCTTGTTAAGGTTTGTAACTTTGCACATATATATTTGAAGATTTAAATTAGAGAAAATAATTTACAAAAAAATTTTGTTATAGTTTTGTTGTTGTTTTTTGTAATTAAAGAAAAGTCCTTATTTTTGATGGCGGGCATGATAACTCCTCACTGAAACATCGGAATCTGAAAATTCCAACGGTGTTAGAAGGAGTACATGTCTGGCTCTCGTATGAACTAGGATTATTGATTTCGCTCCAAAATTAACAAAATGGTGGACCTTTGAAAAAATATTTTTGGAAAATCGCCGATTTTTTACCAAAACCCAAGTTTAAAACTAAGGAAGATCTTCACCGATTGGCTTTATCCTAGTTCATACGATAACTATACACTCAGAGAGAAACGTGTAAAAATTTGAAGTCGATTGGGTTATTAGTTTTTGAGTTATCGTGCCTGCCATTCGCAAAAAATGTTTAGAGAAAAACGCGTTTAAAGTTTGAGAAGCCCTTCAGCCGTCACTTGATGCTGACACAATAAATCGGCTATATCTTCAAGAGTTGTTGAGATTTTCATTTGAAATTTTGTAGGGACATCCTTTAATTAGTGTAGATTCGAATTATATCAACAAAATGTTTGACCCCGAGAATGGGGGAGGGTCCCCTTAAATAGAAAAATAAAACTCAATTTTTAGAATAGTTCGTAGGAATGATGCATTTTAACCATTTTGTGGGGAAAGAACCAGAATGTGTGGACCCATGGGTCCCATCTTCGTACTTGATCTTGGCTTGATAAAGATAATAGATTGATCGCATGATGTTATGAAATAAATTTTCAACAAAATTTTTACCATTTTGCGGTGGAGATACCAGAAGAACTGGACAGATGTTCCCCATCTTCGAACTTGATTTTTTGATGCAAAGTTTGAATGAAACCGACAGTTATCGTGCACCCTATCTGAAACGGATTTCGACCAAAAAAACATGGGGTCTTATTTGTGAAACAATACATTATTTAAATAAAGTCCTCGCAAGTGTTGCAAGCATTCTTTTGGGGTCATTTTCGACTACTTTTTGAAACTTATTGGGAGTTCTCAAGAGTTGGTTTATCTGCATAAACACGGTGTTTCTCGTAACCCAATAAAAAGTCTAATGTTGTCAAATCACATGATGTTGTTGGCCATGAAATGTCTCTTGCAAAGAAAATTTTCTTCACTTTTTTGTATTGGTAAAGTGAAACCTTTTCAACTGAAATTAAAAAATTAGTCGAATCCAGATAATTACTTTTGAAACCACGAAATGGATAAACCTGTATTTGTTATTTTGGGGGGTTTGGGTACTAAATATCTATAGTTTGAAACTATCTATGACATCTAAAGTGAGTCCTTGTGTAATACAAATTATTATGGTAATATTTGTCGGAATTCAATTGTGTCAATTCAACATACGTCGAATCAGTTCGTCCTATATATCCCAAAACGTCAAACTATGTGTCTGTTACTGCACTGATAATTCAAGCGACAATATACAATAAAAAATGGCTCAAACATGAAGATTATGTTGTGAGTATATAAAAACGTGTATACAGAATTTTCTTTTTTCAAATATTCATTTATTAAATAGTTGTTTGTGAAATATTTTGTTGGAGGATAAGGCAAATAGGGGATGACATATTTTTTTTTTTCACTACAATATCTATAGACTAAAGATGCATGAGTATGTTAATAATATCTATGTATTTATGTATGTATATGTGTTTGTGTTTACGACTGTAATATTATTTTTCTGTACCCGTTTAAATTGTTGTTGTACATTAAAAATAAAATAAAACAAACAACGAAAAAAATGAAAATTGAATAACACTTAAAACTACAAATAGGGGGAGGTCTTTACATACAATGGTAGTAAATAAAATAATAATAGTAATAATAATAATAATAGTATAATTTGTTAAATTAATAAATTGTTGTCGTTGTTGCGCTTAGACACCATAGGCATCGGAAATCCATTTCAATAAATCACTGACCAAATCCTGACGTGACAATCTAAAATCGGCAAAGGTTTGAATTTCAGGATCTGTTGATACTCTGAACGATTTGCCTTGGCCTTGGAGTAGCTGTAATTACAGAAGTGATAAGGAATTAAGTAATTGTCAATCGATTTGTGTGTTTTTAATACTCACTCTCATAGCGTCTTCATCGGTGGTGTCGTCACCAGCAAATATCACTTTAATTTCATCAGCCCAATTTTCACCAAATTTGTGTTTCAAAATGAACAGGGCAGCTTCACCCTTGTGCCAATTTACTGGAGGTTTGGCCTCAATGGCTTCGTGAGCTTGATTGGCTCTGAAACCGTGGGCTTCAATAATTTTAATGGCCACTTGTTTTTGTGATTCCTTGATTTCGACGGGTGTATCACGATAGTGATATGTCAACGATACACGCTTGTCTTCTACCCAGGCGTTATTCTTTTCAACATTGGCCCGCAGCTCCTTAACCAGATGGGTATAATTTTCCTGGACCTCGGCAGGAAGTTGATAATCGTGACGGCTGCCATCTTCCGATTCAATTTCAATGCCATGATTACCGGCATACATAATGCCGTTAATGCCAACACGACCTTGGACATCCTTAATGCCACGGCCAGATATGACAGCTAAGAAAACATTGGGGTGTTTGGCCAGTTTATTCAGAATAAC